ATATAGTCTTGATACGTGTATGGGATCATTTTGTGAATTCAGTTGATCGGGTGATCCATCACATATTTGAGAGAGTTGTTCGAACTCTTCATGGTAAATGGCATCAATGAGTGTTTGTTTCATGAAACGAGTGAGGGCTTCGGAAGGATCGTCAAATTCGGTAGGACTAAAACGGTAGAGCAACGCCTTAGTAAAATATTCCCCGGCCGACGAGCCCTTGAACCCAATTAACCGGCGATTCCGTTCCAAAGTGAGTCCTTCCAAACGAAATGAATCGAGGTGCACCTGCTGATTTTGGGCAATACTTTGAAATTCAAAATATTGCTTGGCTTGGAAAATCCATTCCGTTGCGTTATCTGCGGCGACTTTTGGAATTTGTTGTTTGAGGTTTGTATTTGGGGCAGGGTATGGAGTTGTGTGTGTTGTAGGTATATTTATTTTTTGCTTGACCGGTAGTGGTGTTCTCCCACAACAAAGGAGTTGACATCATTTTCGGCTTTGGAGGAGGCTCTTAGAGCTCGAAGTTCGGTGAGAACAACTTGGAGGGTGTTGTGTATTTTGTCGAAATTTGATTCGTGTCGAGCTAGGGTTTCAATAACCTCAGCACGAAACTCAACATCTGATTGGTTACGTGCCTCCATGGAACGTAACGGCTCTGAACCATTGTTACGTGGTAATTTGAGTAAAGAAACATAGTTCGAGAATTAAAAAGAAATCGAGAGATATGAATTAGGAGAATTAGAATTAGGAGAAGAATTAGAGACGAGAATTAAGAGAAGACAAAGGGAGATTAATTGATTCTTAAACTTCATAATCGTAACATTCTAATTACCCTATTTATAATACTCATGAATAATAATTAACTACCACCCCACTAACCCCTTAACCACACTAACCCATTAATTTAATTCATGCCCACTAATAAAAAACTACCCACTAACATATAATTTGACTAATTCTAATTAAATTAAATAATAAAACATATCAAATTTGGCCATACCTCGGGGGTAGACATAATTTGCCCTTATAAATATTGAAATTCTACATAGTAAAAATCTAATTAGTAAATACAGTTTGCATCCTTAAAGTATTAATGATATGACATTTTTTATTCTCATAATAATTGTCTATTTTAAGAATATTTTTGTTCCATTTTATATGTCATTTTAGATTTTCAACACTGAATTAAATGTAATTTTTCATGTTTTAACATTATAAGTCAACTCTAAGTATTAATTCTTTCCTATAACATCATTAAATAAAATTAAGATTATTTTGGTTTTTTCAGTATATTTTTTCTAAAATCAAGTCACGTTTATTGAGATTGTTAAGACTTTTAAACCGAGCCCCGTACCACGGGCATTCGAAGTGGCCAATGTCTCCTCAGATTGGTTTCATGGGCCTTTATTTCACTTATTTATGTCTAATAATACCACTCATATTTAATTGATCCATTCGACAATGCTAAATGGCCAGAATCTGGATGGCCAGAACATGATAGTTAATCTCGCGATATACCGCGATATATATCGCGATATGGTATGGTTCCAATCAAAACGATACAACTCGGGTTCTGTATCGCTTATTGATAAATACCGTCAAATATCGCGAGATATCGTAACGTATCGGCGTATCACGATACGATACAATATTTACGATATTAGTCGACAATTAAAAAAAATGAAAAAAAAAGAAAAAAAAAAAAAAAAACGAAATTAACTGCTCTGAAAAACGGTTTTGAATAAATTTCTTCAATATCCCAATCTTATTTCACATTTTTCTCTTCAAATTTCTTCATCGGTTTTCATAATATCGCAACCCTAATTCAATTTATATGGATTCTTACAATTCAAGACCAATTCAAGGCTTTTTTACTGGGTTTTGCTATTGATGATGATGAATCGTTTAAAATTGGTAGATGAGGATGATTTAAGTGGCCTTGATCTTCAAAATTATGAGAGATCGAATATTTTAGAAATTAGCTATTCGAATTTGTACTTAGGTCCCATTTGGCTAAGCTTCTTTTGAACAACTGATAAGCTCTAATATCTGATAAGTTTTTTTAAGAGCTGATAAGTTGTTATATCTTACTTCTAAAATTATTTTTTTCAAGTGTTTGGATAATGATCTTACAAATTATTTTTACTCATTATAAGATTTTAAATAAATAGATGGGGTAAATGTACTTAAAAAAAAAATTATTTGCTCTCCAGCAGCTTATAATATTTTGAATTTTTAAGATTTTTTTTTTTTTAAATTACCTGATACACTGGAATGATACACTGGAATAGCTTATAAGCTCTTAAACATCTTATAAGTTATTGTTAACATCTTATAAGCCTAGCCAAACACCCTCTTAGATGATGTTATTTGATAAACAATTATGATTTTTGTCATATTTTATGATAGGGTAAATTACAAACACCCCCCTGAGGTATGGTTAAATTACAAAAACACCCCTCTTGTTTGGATAATTACAACCACCCCCTCAACTCCTAAA